GGTCTGGGCCATTTGATTGTACGAATAGCGAAGCGTCACACTCACTAAATAATCGGTAGCAGTAAAAAAAACAGCTCTTTGTGACGTTATTTATTATCTTGCGAATCTTCGTAATATTGAATCGGGAGGGTCTTTAAACGTGCTATTTATTTTGCTAATCCTTTTCGTAAGCGATATACAAAGATCCCTCCTCTTCCCCTCTATCAATGCGACAGAAATATGCATTACGATAATACGACGTGTAACAGCACACACAATCGGTTAGATTTTACTTTTAGTTTCGAAAATGAGATTGTATAGTGGGGGTAGGCCTTGGCACACTTCACACACCGAGACACGCTGTTGGTGGCGAGCGCGAGCGAGAAAGAGAGAGAGAGAGAGAGAGAAAGAAAGACACACACTAGTACGCGTTCATATAATCCTCGTGACGAATATTACAAGCTATGATCCAAACCTGTAAGAATAATCGCATCACGGTATTCAAGAGAAACAAGCGCTCTTATCGGAATCGTCGTCCTTCCCATACCTGCGTTTTATGTGACGCATATATTATCAATGCTTCTCACAATCGGTCCGGCTACGTTATTCCGTCCGACTGTCATCTCGGTAGCCTAATTCGGAATATAGATTTCTTTACAAAATTCGTTTCCGGGAAGATGCCCTCAATTTAAACTTTGTCGCAAATTGGATTTATTGATTTATTAATATTTTATCCTCGAAAAAAAAAAGACCACCAGCGTATTTTTCCAATATGCCGATGAGTGCTAGACATTACGCGATGTTTTCCATGACCTAAATTATATCAATTCAGAACAAGTCCAAAGTCCTTTGAGTTTCTGAATCTGGTTTACTTCTTTTTTTTTTTCTTTATCTTTTACTATGCATCTTGCAATCAGTTTAACCGCGATTTACATTGTCTCGTTGCAGTAAATTATTTCAATGCCCTACTTTAAAATGTATAACCCGATATTTCCCATTTTAAAAAAACCATTTGGATCGATCAAATGATATTGACTTATTCCATTATCATTAGCGTATTTACATTTTTTTCTCGATGAAAGATAAGTAGCATATCTTCTATTCGATAGATATCGTACTCTTTTTCACGAGATCTAAATTATCTATCCACGCGCGATAAACGTATATCTTTCTTATTTTCTCAAAGGAGATAGAGAGAGATAGAGAGAGATAGAGAGAAAACTCACATTTCATTTTACGCTACCGATAACTAGGTCAAGATCGTTCCGGCAAATTGGAGCATATTATGACAAGAATTTCAAACTTTCATTATAGTTTTCAAGGTTTGCAGTATAGTTTTCAAGAGAGTATCCTCATGAGGTGCTCTAGTATCAACGCGACAATAATCGCTCCCGATAATCGACGTCGTCGCGAATTCGCTCGCGTATCCTCTCGCCCACGAGACGTTTAAAGGATCACCGCGATGCTAATTGACCCAGAAATAGCGTAATACCGATAATGGTCGCATAATTTCAGCCTATACGGGTAAAGGACTCGCGCGACTGCTCCACAGCCTTGTCGCGACTTGTCGTCGTGTTATCGTCGTCGCTCGCAAGCGTTCACCGTCGTGGAACGAGTTTCACGTCGACGCGGAATATAAGCGGAGATGAGTACAAATACGAAAAAGAGAAAAAGGCGTCGTATCATCGTCGTCGTCGTCGTCGTTGGCGTCGCGACCGTACACTCTCACACTGACGATACTTATTTCATGTGTGCTAGTCGTCTATAATTATTTTCCTTTCTACGCGCTATTAGCCGTTTGCGATAACGAGCCGACGAGTAGACTCGCTAACGCATTCGTTGCATCGACGAAGAAGAAACCTCCACGTGCGAGTTGACTCCGTTGGCGGCGCGTTAAACGATATTATCATTAATTGGAGCGTGCAATTGGACCGCGTTACGCAACACGGTAATACGAGTGTATGATATTCTATGCGCAAATCGACGAAACTTATCTGAATAACGAAAAGAACACGGTACGCGTGTGTTCTTTCTGTTCTCTCTCTTTTATTTTATCAACTCGAAATTACACCCGATGCCGTAAAACGGATGCAGGCATTGCATAACGCGGTGCAATCGTGCAAGCGAAAACGCGACACTCGAAAGTGAAACGATTTCGACCGATTCTCGTTGCGACGTGTCGCAATTAATTAACCACGAGACCGTGTATATATATATATATATATATATATATATATATATATATATATATATACGATAATTAACGCGCGAATAATATATCGATCATCGCGACAGGAGTCGTCATCTCCGTCAAAGATTTTACTCTGTGTCAAATATACACGGCGCCGCATACTCGTTCGATTTTACACACTCTGAAAGTTTCTGGGTCGCGGCGGAGGCTTTCACTTTCTTTCGTTGCTTCCGTTCTTTCGACGGCGCGTTCCGTGCCGCCGCCGGCCCTTTTCGCTTTCGTTTGACCCTTTTTCATCCGTTTCACCAGAGCGCGGCCGCGACAATTCTTATTCCACCTGCGTCGCTCGCGCACTATACGCACCGACAGGACCTCTTTTCCGTAGACACGCTATCCGGTAGAAATAATGCGTGGACGTGCGTGCGTGTACGTATTCGTTCGGATGCGGCGCGCTCACGCAGGCAGGCACTCACTTCCGATCCGCACCGGTCCGAACAAAGGACAGGCCGCTGTTTGGAAGCACGGTGTACAATGAGAAGCGGAAGTTCAATCGATCGTGTGTATTTTTTCAGCGGGATTTGAGTCACGGCCCTCGTTTGTGTCCTGCTTCATTCAAACAGTTATTACGGATTTTACGCAGTAAAGTGTGTCTCTACATCGTGTGAATTATATCGTAAATACATTAGTATTAATTTATATTAGGTAAATTAATTATTCCACGTGTCATATTGTGTATCACGAGAGAATTCATTTAATCGTTTCGACATAAAACTCAAAGACTTTAGCATTTATCATATGGAAAATACGGCATTGCAATTAATGTAATTTCAAGATAAAAATTGCCATGACAAATCATAATCAATCCGTACGAGGAATATAGAACTATTATATTTAGCAAGATATGGTATTTCGAAACTTCCTATTGACGAATCCATATTACGCTCGTCGTATTCTTCGTATTGTATCCCGACGGGCGTAAATAACAGAAGGGAGAGAAGAGCGGATGCGCATTTCGCAAGGCGCGAGCTCTCGTGTTTCTGGAATTAACCATCATGTTTCAATCACGTTGTTCATCCTTTACCCATCGTATCCTCGCTTTTCAATTTTCCCGAACCCGCTATGCAAATCTTTATCAAGCTTTCTCTACACGCTTTCGCGTTGCATTATTTGTGTTATGCTTGGAATTATTGGAACGAAGGCCCGATTCTCTCAAGTATTTTAAGCGCCGACAATTATCATGATAACAAATTTTACTAGATAGGAATCAACGTCGAGATGTTGGTTTTCTCGACGTAATTATTTTTGGGCATATTACTATGCCCAAATATAATCTCGGATGCTGCCGAAAAAGACGGTTTACGTAAATACCCTTTTGACGGATATCACGCGGCCGCGAACTTTTCGAGGTCACCCCCTGCGAATTCTCTAGGTCGAATTTATAGCGTAAACGCGCGCTTCTTAATCTCGCAACTTGGTGCACCCGACGCGATGACAATGTCGATGACAACACGCTTGCGATACTCGGCGCGGCGTGCGTTCATCAATGTATGCGTGTATATACATACATGTGCGTACATACGCGCGTTATTACGGCAGGAACGTGTTCGCTCGGTCACTTGTACGAGAAAGAGCGCGAGAGTCAGCGAGTGAATAAATGAGTCGGAGAAGCGGATGGACGGTAGGAGGGAAGATAGGGGAAGGGGGGGGGGAGTGAAAAAGCGTGCGAGGAAGAGAGAAAGTGAGAGTGAGCGAGCGAGGGTGTGAGAAGGGAGAGGGAGGCAGCGAGAAAGAGAGAAAAAGGTATCGCGTCTTTTCACACGAGGTAGAGTACGCGAGTAGAGAAGGCTTAACGGGCGTAAAGAGGGTGGGGGGGTGGGAGGAGGCGAAAGAAGGACGGAACGCGAGTGGAGGAGGGTAAGGACAGGGTCTGCGAGAGCGAGACGGCGATAGCGGCGCGACGCGAGGAACGAGAGAGCGAGAGAAAGAAAGAGATAGACGCGGAGGGAGTGAGACGGACGCGAGCGACAGAGACGGAGGGAGGGTATATATGACAAGAGGGAGTGAGTCGCGCGGCTGCGTCATGTTCTCAACGAACTGGGTCAGTAGGTCTCCCCACCGCGCGCTTACCGCGTCGCACATCTACCGCTGCGCGTATACACACAGGCGCGGACGCTGGTTGCGCTGCCGGGGAGTGCCAACGGCGTTGCTGTTGACCCAGCCGCGCGCGTCTGTATGTACGTGGCCCGGTGCCGCGACACTTAGCCGCGCCACGCCGCGCTTCTACCTGTGACGATATTGCCTCTATCTGGTATTTTCTCTCTCTTTCTCTACACTCTTGAAAGCAAGAGTCGTTTTCTCCGACGCGCGCGCGACTCGTTCTCGCGAATCTGATCTTTCGCCTCTCTTCGATTCGAGATTCATCCGCGCGCGCGCGCGCAAGTGCCGAAAAAAAAATCTCGGTCCTGCCCGACACATTCGCGGAATGCGTCTTACGTCACTCGCAGGACCGGTCGCTTTCTCGGTTGCCGACTGCGAGAATTCCTCCTCCTCCCCCCTCTTTGCTCGCGCGGCCCGACGGCTTTGTTGTACTACTCGTTTATCAAAACTCGTCCGCGTGTTGCGTACATCGTCCGAAAATTCGACTTGGAAATCCTAGACGTTGAGAAGCATCGATGATGATGGGGAACCAACAACGAGACGACGACGACGTCGACGACTCTCTCGCATGCTCGCGGACAATATTTCTCCGGCCGACATAGACCTGGTTCCGTAAGTAGGTCATCCCCCCCCCGCCATCGGTCGCGCAACCTCCTTCTCACCGCTCTCCCTCCTTCCCTTCCTCCCCCCTCTCCCACCGGTATCTTCGACCGCGGCAATACCAGCGGCAATCCGTCCGCCTGCTCTCTGCCGCGACCGCGTGCTACTCGACCCTCCCTCCCTCTCACTCGTGCAGACCTCTCAGGCGGCACCCTCCACTCCGCGTCGGGTACCTGGCCGCGCGCGGTGGCATGCGCTGCTGAATCACTTTCACTTATGCCGTGCGCTGTGTTGGTTATACTCGGTGCGCGCGATCTCTCTCTCTTTCTCTCTCTTCCCCCTCAGTCTTTATCTCTCTCTCTTTCTCGCCTCTCGTTGCCCGTCGGTAAAGGGACACGCGCGCCTTCTCTCTATACCCACCGAAACGCCGAAGGAGCCTGACAGTAGTGCGCGCCTCGGCACCGTTCTCTCCGTGCACGGTTTCGCCCAATTTTCCAGTCCACCGTCGTCGTCACGAACGTCGTCGTGGCATCGTCGCGCGTCATAGTCGTAAAACGTGTTGTCGCGCGCGAAACGAGCGTCGCTCCGGTTTTTTTTTTCACCTTTTGAAAACGCGCCCGCTAGCAGCAACGTGCGATCGCGTCTCGCGTTATCTCGGGACGGGAGTGCGCGACGTGTGAACAGAGAAGCCAACAGCAGCATCATCGTCGTCGCGTTTACAACGACAATTCGTTATACACCCTGGGACGCAATCGTGGGTCGTCATCGCGTCGTCGTCAACGACGTTGTTACCGCCGCACGCTCGCGGTGATACGTCACGTATGCCGTGTCCCGTAAAGGCGGCCTCCCCGGCAGTCTCTACCTATCTACCTACCTACCTACCTACCTACCTACCTACCAACCTACCTACCTACCTACCTACCTACCTACCTACCTATCTACCTACCTACCTACCTATCTACCTACTCCATGTACCGACCATAGGGTGACGGAGGAGGGGAGAGCGGGCCCTTCGGGAAGGCAACGAGTCGAGAAGACGACTAGTCGTACGCAGATACGCCAACTGTCAAGTCGTGCGGTCTCGGGCTCCGATTTGTCGTCATCGTGCGCGCATCCATCTCGCTCGTTTATTCGTCAACTCACTCTCGTTTGTGTTGTGCCGGTACAATAGTTAATTGAATTCATAGTGTATTCTCGCGCGCGACACGTTAGTTCTAGTGTGCTTTTGTATACAATCGCTATCGAACGTAACGCGTCACATTGTTGACAATCGTTGACATCGTACAGATTGTCATCATTTTGCCATCGTTTTCGCGTGTGTGTCCGTCTATCTGTCCCGAGGTGCACGCCGGTAATCGCGTTTCTCTCGTTCGTGGTGCGTGGACGGACGTATTACTGTAAAACACGATCTCATCTACATTGTGCACGGCGATAAGGTTGGATTACAGTGCGAAACGAGAGGAGACGGCACCTTGGTGTGTTGTTTACTGCTTTGTTCCGACAGTGTGTCGAATGTTCTTCGCGCGCGAGCATCGACAATTATATTATGATCATGTCTCGGACGTAGCCCCGTCAAGTCTTAGCGACGAGATTCGTATACGCATACGTTTGGTGGTGTACGATGATTTTTCTCGATAAATCTGTGTAATTCGTGAGAGAGAAAGAAATAGAGAGAGGGTGACTCTAGTGATCGATAAATATTTTTCGTGCCACCGGGAAACCCCGAGTCCGAGAGAGTGTGTGTTTTTCTCTTCCCGTGCGCGCGGGATAGCTGCTCCCACTTTATCCCTTTGTGCCGATTTGTTGTCATCGACATCGTCGTTATCGTCGTCGTCGTCATCATCATTGTCATTGATGGCGACGTCAACGGGTGCACCAGGTCGCGTTTCGAGAACGTTAAACGATTGACGCGCTGTCATCAATCCTCTCGCCGGAGATCTCGCTCGTGCGATCGACGTCTCGCTAACGTGACGAACCCAACGGGGAATAAGGGATACGTCGATGTAATTTATTAATACTCCGGAAATTGACGCGCGCAATCGTACATTGTAGTGTCCAGCGAGAAATTCGGCAAAGATTGGACGAAGTAAAGCGAACGAACGAACAAACGGCGGCATCCGAGAAGAAGGCTCGATAGCTAATTTATATATGTGCCGATACACGTGCACGTCCCTCCGGCTTGCGCTGCTTCTCGCGCAAGGGTGATATGTTATTGGAGATGGAGCAGCATTCGGGCCTGATATCCCTAAACATGTCGCCGTTCCACCTGAGTCCGCAGGGCAGTCCGCAGGCTACCGGGCAGCAACCTCCGCAGCAACAACCGCAGCCGCATTATGGCTCGTCGCCTTACGGTAATTGCGCGCAGAGTTCGCCGTCGCCCATGTGCCACCAGCAGCCGCAGACTCAGTCGCAACAGCAACAAATGTCCGCGCATGGCCAGGCGGCGCAATCGCAGGGCGGCGGCATGTCGAACTTTGAATCCAATTTCTACGAGGTTGCCGAGGATAACCGATGCCCCATGTGCGGCCATAAGAATATGTCCAATTATCAGTACGGCCTGTTTACGTGCGATAACTGTAAGGGTTTCTTCAAGCGCAACAGTTCGCCGTGTAGCAGCAAAAAGGTCTACGCGTGTCTTTTTTCCCCTACGGGGGGTGGTAATGGCGGCGGCGGCGGCGGCGGCGGAGGTGGCAGCGGTAACGGTGGCTGCGGCGCGTCCTCGCCGTTTGAGATTTGCGCCAACAAGAAGGTGTACACGTGTCTGTTCCCGCCAACAGGAGCCGGAAGCGGCAACGGCGCCTGCGGCGGTACGTCCACCGGTCTGGAAGGTAACGGCGGAGGTGGAGGTTACACTGGCAGCAGCGGCAACGGCAGCGGTGCGGCCACTGTCGCCGGTGGTCCAGGCGCGGCTAACGTCGCGATCAGCGGAGCAGGCGGTGGCGGAGGCAGCGGAGGCGGCAGCGGACCCGGCGTCGCCGCATCGGGAAGCGGCAACGTCGCCACCGGTGCGGTTCCTACCGGCGGTACCCTATGCCATCCTGGACTAGGCCAGGTCGGCGTCGTAACGGGCTCGATACCGTGTCCGTCCGAGTTTCCGGATACCAAGGACATCATCATCGAAGAGCTGTGCCCGGTTTGCGGCGATAAGGTGTCGGGCTATCATTACGGTTTACTCACGTGCGAGTCCTGCAAGGGTTTCTTCAAGCGCACCGTCCAAAACAAGAAGGTATACACCTGCGTTGCCGAGAGATCCTGCCACATCGACAAGACGCAGCGGAAACGATGTCCCTTCTGCCGTTTTCAAAAGTGCCTCGAGGTCGGCATGAAGCTCGAGGGTGAGTTGCTCTTTTACAGTGAGACTATTAAACTAGATATACATTATCAGAGAACGAACGAGCAGCGAAGAAAAAAAAAAAAGGAACGCGAGAAAACAATTTTTCAAACATTATTTGAAACTTTCTTTACCGCCTTATGAGCGAATACGATTCGAACGTGAATCGAATGTTAACAGACGCTTTGTTTGTATTCGCTATGGCGTAAGCATCTTCTGATTTAACGGCGAAAATTTACATTCGTTGGTCGTTTGTTCGCTCAGTAAGTAGTATTCACTTTTAAGTCTACGTCGAAAATGCAAGATGATAAAAAAAAACGACGATAAAATGTTAAAGAAATAGTTTCAAGTAAATTGGAATAAATTCTATACAATCTCTCAAGAGCACATTATAAGATTATGCTATAAACAGGGAAAAGGAATAATAGAAAGGGAATAAATAACAGCACTAGAATTAAAGTATATTTGTATATTAGAAAGATGATTTATATATCGTATATATAAGGAAAATGCCTACAGCATTTAGTATTTTGCATTTTTAATAGTGCTAGTGATAAGTGACGTTTGACATCATCACAACGTAATTCGCGACATAACCTCCGAAGGACAGAAAAATATTATCATTAACGTTAAAATTTAATTAAGATTAAGAAAAGATATATAACTTTGCCAAAATTTCCGAATTAATTTGTAGTATAAATGAATAGTGATCGGTAATTATTAATATTAATGTCATAAAAACATACGTAATATATTTTGTCGTATAATATTGTTAGATATCTGGATGTAAATAAAAGTTTGTTAAAACTGAATTAATTCATTGAATCGGAACGAGTATAGATCTATAATAAATTACAAAGAACGCGATAAGATTTTGTTATCTACTGATACTTATAATGTATGGATAAAAAAAGATATATTTTATGTGTATATATACACAGTTTAAGAATTCTAATCATTGCATGTCAAATAGTTACAAAAGAATATTTCATTCCTATAATTTTGTGAAACTATATACAGGATGAGCCCAAACGTTCCGGCCAGACTTTGAGATTTGATAGGAAATTTAATTCTGAACAAAAAGTTCTCTATAAACGTGGGTCGAAAAATGCTTTAAAAAGGTAGCGCCCAAAAACCTCTGAAATCACGGTTATTTTATACATTTTTACAAATATCAGGGAAAGTATGCGTCTTTTAACAAAAAGTACCGAAACAAAAGCTGTAAGGAATTAAATTATCTTTCAAATGAGATCAAAATGATTAGTAGTACGTTCCATAGGTTTTGAGATAACTAGTTTTAAATGTACAAAAAAAGTGTTTTTTCAGCTATTGACGGTTATTCCAAAACCTATGGAACAAAGTACAATAACTTTGATCTCATTTGAAAGATAATTTAATTCTCTACAACTTTTGTTTCGGTACCTTTTGTTAAAAGACACATACTTTCACTGATATTTGTAAAAATGTAAAAAATAACCGTGATTTCAGAGGTTTTTGGGCGCTAACTTTTTAAGGAAGCATTTTTCGACTCATGTTTATAGGAAACTTTTTGTTTGGTATTAAATTATCTTTCAAATGAGATCAAAATGACTGTAGTTCGCTTCATAGGTTTTGAAATAAACTGGTTAATAACCAATTTCAAATGTACCGAAAAGCATTTTTTCGGCTATTGACGGTTATTCGAAAACCTATGGAACAAACAACAATAACTTTGATCTCATTTGAAAGATAATTTAATTCTCTACAACTTTTGTTTCGGTACTTTTTGTTAAAAGACGCATACTTTTCCTGATATTTGTAAAAATGTAAAAAATAATCGTGATTTTAGAGGTTTTTGGGCGCTACCTTTTTATTAAGGAAGCATTTTTCGATCCATGTTTATAGGAAACTTTTTGTTCAGAATTAAATTTCCTATAAAATCTCAAAGTTTGGTCGGAACGTTTGAGCCCACCCTGTATACTATACATACATAATATTTTAGAACGGTGACATTATAATTCCGATAAGTAAATTACACGATAATGGTTATCGTCTGGGTCGCGATGATAGCGTCACACTTAATGCATTTTGTATATAATTGATAATAAACTCATAATAATGCATGTTGATCTTTGCAAAACGGAAAATTTTGTTATAGCGAATGTTATCTTTAAATTCATACATTAAATTCGTACATTAAGTCTATGCATATCTATTATCTATGCCGTATGAAGGATACGTATAGTCTTGCGCGGAGCGTTAAAATGCAAATCTTTTTCGTTATTACGAATAAAAAGCATTCTCCGTGAATATCCGATTCCGCGACGCGTACATAATCGCGCGTAATTTATCGATCGCATCGCGTCATTTTAATAATTTCGCCTTTTACTTTCACCGCGCGAGCTGTGTTTTCCCACCAACACAGCGATCCGGTGTGTCATCGGCGTTATATCGTATGTATATATAAAGAGTTTCATGTTATCTCCTATATGGAATATCTCCGCACGTGCTTGCGCCGCTAAACATACGTCAAAAGTCGTTTACACGCACACGGACGGCGTCGTCGTCTTCATCATCCTCATCGTTGTCGTTGGTCGTGCTTAAGTCTCGTCTCGACCGAACATTTCCGCGCCACGCTTGTACGAATTTAACCTTATTATACGCACACATACATGCAATTAATCGAGTCTCACCGACGGCGTGTGCTCTCTTTCGTCGTTTTAAAGCTCGGGGACGCGCGCGCTCGATGGCAAACGATGGCACGTATCTCTTATAGTCGCGAATCGATCGAGCCCGCGCCTCCTCCTCGCGATATTTGAGTCAACGAAGAAGCGGTCGTTACTACATGCCGGACAAACGAAATTACGTCACGGCTGGCACTAGTAACACGATTACGCGTCATTATTCACGTGCTTACATTTGACCTCATTTAACGCCTACGTTAACAATTTTTTTTTAATTAGCAAGCGCTATTTTTATATATGTGTGTATATAAAGGAGAAATATTCTACGCACAAAATCTTTCCTCTCTCATAATTAAAGTAATTAAATGTGCTAAAGTACTCTTGCTATGTAATAATTTTCTCATTCCTAATTATCTTAATTCGAGACAAGTTGGAGAAGCGTTAATACACAGAAACGGTCATATGTGTATATATGCCGTATAATAAAGTTAAATTAGATACATATGCGTTGGATCGATGCTCCAATTGCGATGCGCGTCGCGCCGCTTACCATAGCGTCGTATTCTTGAAAACGTGGAGTTTAGGCTCGCTGTTAAGCGAGACGGCAGTTTAGTTTGTAGCATCTAATGCAATTCAAGTAACTGGGTCTAGGCCCTCAAGGCCCAACGATTAAGCGAATCTCGAAACAGTCTCTGTCGCAATTGCCGCTTTTGCACACCGTTTTCCACGACGTTCCTATGACGGCAAAGGGAGGGAAGGGAGGGAGGAAGGGAGATTGCTTAATGCGGAAAGTTTCCAGAGTGCTTGCGAGCGTTTACGAAAGGAAAGAGTTTCCTTACATGCGCTAATCGTCTACAAACGTAAAGGAAAGATTCGCGCCGGCGAAAATTGCGCGAAAAATGCGCTTAAAATGCCGTTTTTCGATACGTGATCATCGGTTTATCGACAAGAACTGCGCCGATCTGCGAAAAGTAATTAAGTTGAAATGCGAACGAGTGTAATTTTGTGAAGGAGATCATCGATAAGAGATCGTGAATTTGATAATCGTAATATTATCGGCTCGTAATATCACACACAACAACTAAGTGATAATGTCGTCATCGCGATTGAACGCTGCGACAGAATAACAATGTACAATGCGAGGAAATAAAAATTGCCGTCTGATTTTTTTTCTTATTGCGTGCGGACATCGTTACTCATTTAATATTTCAACTTTTTTTTTTTCCTCGCGTTATTCGTCATAGAGTTGATAAATATTCCTACTCTCGTCGAAAATACCATCCACTTGTGACGTCATTCCGAAATCGACTGTTGTTTGACGTTCGATTAATTATCGCGGTTTTTTAAATCGGCATGAGCCTGCTTTCTCGAATAATTCACGGTGAAATTGAAAAGTGGAGTTGTCGAAGCCGCGACTGTGAAAGAAACACGACGAGGCGGGAAAAGAGCCGGCAAAACACACTTGTGGTAATCGCGCGATAACACCTGTCACGGATCTGCAGCAAACTCGCCGTTTTTAACGACGCGTGAATATGGGAATAAGGCTTGTTCGGTATAAAACGAGCGGTTTCGCGTTACGGCTTTATAAATTTGATTTGAAATTCATTTCGTGACAGCAATGAACTCGTCGGACAAGACATTCACGTTTATGACAAGATTTCCGGGACGCGTTGAAGGACATATCCATACGATCGAGTATCGAGTAATAATTTATATTATAGCCTCGTGAAAATTAATTTACTTTATACTAAATGATTGTACCACAAATATGATTTCTTAATCTTTCTTTAAATAATAATATAATATAAAGGCTATTCGATATTATAACAAAAATATTAATATGCCTTGAATGTGTAAAATATTATATATATTAGTTCCTCCGCGTTAACGAGAAATTAATTACTTCTTAAATTTATAATTTTTTTATGATAATCGAAGAAATAGTAGGGAATTATGTAGGGAATGATTCGTATTCTTATCTCGCATTTATTTCTAATCTTGCTAAATAAATTAGTTTTGTTAATTTATTTTTATTTAAATAAAATCATTTACATAATTTTGAATTTTATTTTTTTAATATAAATATTGAACATTATTTTATTGATTGGGAATATTATATTTAACGTTGTACTCTGTGAATTGCGAGTAGTCTTTTGACTGAAAGATATTATTATATATTGATTGAGAAAGATATAATCACAATTTTTGCCTCATTCTTCTAGCATTTTAATGTATATCGAAAGTTGTCAAATGTGGCACGAGAGAGAACGAAATTCCTTGCTCCCGATATTATTTAACGTGTCGCGAAACGGTGCGCTTTTGCGCAATTTACAAGCACGTA